AGAAAGTGGAGAGACGTATGTGGTGACTTGCAGCAAAAATATCGGCATAATTTGTAGCGCATTGAGTTGTGAAACAATAGCATATTATGAACCAGTGTACACAGTAGTCGAATAATCCAATTCAATAACTTGATTTTAACAGGTTGTGCCACATTGCCAGTCCCTTTATTATTTACAGTTTTTTCGCGTTTTTCATGCCAAACCCAAAAATATCCACAAACCTTTTAATGCAATGATGTAAAAAACTCAAACATATTCAGAATTAGCGTGGCCGATAGACAAATAATCCAACCCAAGCAATTGGGTGCAACTTTTTGCCCAACTGTCACTCCCTGGTGTGAATGACCATGCAGAACAACTGAAGACATTTTTTGTGCAAGTATTGTGGAATTGTTGTGATTAACATAAAGTGAGAAGACTAAGGAATTGTACACTGGTAGTGTGCTAACTATATATTCGAAGTGAGAAGTCCAGCTGTGAAGACATTACCCTGTTAACAGTGTTGTGAAGATTTAGTGTTTATTAAACAAGACTACAGTGCACGAGTATGTTTCACTGACCTGGTGGAAATCTACCTGCCTGTTGTTTGTCTGTACACTGATACCGATCGTCGGGAAATTACCGGAGACTGGCGGGACAGCCAGTGGTAATTCGACAACACTTGAGATATCTACTGCTTCTGTACATACGACCCTGGCCGCTAGTAACCCGTGGTGGAAGCTGGGTAAGCGGTGAAGGAAGAGGATCTTAACAATATTCTTTAGTGACGTGCTAGATATATTTTTTGTCTAATCACCAAAAAAATATAAGTTTAAATTCGGAGTTGACATCTTTAAGAATATTCAGTTTATAATTAATTATATACTTAGAAAGGCGCCATACAAGTTCATATTTAGCACATAGACTGGTCAGGTATACAAACTGTGAATCTATACGAATTATTCTCGAAGTGCAGAAATATAATACATGATCACTTCATTGTTTATAAATATAAAGCCATAGCCTATTTAAGCCTCATCCGGAGCATTATATAAATCTCTCAACTAAGAATTGTATTTTCCTGTTCATTTTCTTACGTAATTATAAAACTTCCCGCTATCGTCACTATTATCAGAGTTTTGTACATTTTTCTTGGATACGTCATTCATAACTGCATGTTCTCTTATATATTTTTCTGAATATCCTTAACAGTTTTCTTATCTCATTTGGGCGGGACATAATGGTGTCATGCTTAGGAAAGAGAGACCTTGTGTGTGTGTGTGTGTGTGTGTGTGTGTGTGTGTGTGTGTGTGTGTGTGTGTGTGTGTGTGTGTGTGTGTGTGTGTGTGTGTGTGTGTGTGTGTGTGTGTGTGTGTTAGTTTGTGTGTATGTGTGTGTTAGTGTGTGTGTTAGAATGCGTATGTGTGTGTATTACTATGTGTATGCAAGTGTTAGTATGTGTGTGCGTGTGTTTGTGGTGTAATGGTCAGCCTGCTCGTCTCTCAAGAGAGTGTACCCGGGTTCGATTCCCAGGCAGGGTGAAACTACGGACAAGTTTCTTTCGCCATTTGCCTCCTGTCTACCCAGCAGTAATTGGGGACCTAGAAGTTAATCGATTTGCGGATCGTGTTCCGGGGTAATGGTTAGCCAGTGCAGTTGGTGAGTTATCCGGTCTTCTCGGAATATTCCTTGACACTGGGTCATGCCACTCGTTAACTCAGGGTGTGGTTTTTGTGTTGGCGACAGCTTCTACACCTTAAACAAATTCACGCCTAGGTGGCTTTTGGGCCGGCCATCCTCGTTACACGAGGGGCAACCATTATCTGTGTGTGTTAGTATGTGCGTGTGATAAAGTTAGTGTGTGTGTGCGCCAGGTGCCAGTAATTAATATTTATATACACAACATGTTCTCATCAACAGGCTGATGATGCACGTGTTGGGGAGGAAGATGATGTGTGTTATGGGGTCACAGTGGCACCTGACCTGTACTGTCCTGGTGGCTGCTGGTGTCCTGAGGATGTCTGTCTGTCTGTGTAGAGAGGCTTTGTTAAGTGAGCCATTTAACACAATAATGGTATTAATTATTAGCGATTAAACACCTTTTTTTCTTTGTTAATTTTTGAGATGAATCACTTAACGATGATCCACGTAACAGTATTTAAAGCCGTAGTTGTCACACGTATGTTGCGTCGTACAGGCTGGGGGGGTGTGTGATGCTGGGGTGGAGGGGTGACTGGGATGGGGGGTGGTGGGGGTTGAGGTGTGGCTGGGGTGGTGTGGCTATGGTGGGGGGTGTAGCATAACAAGGTCGTATTGAGGGTGAGTGCAGGAGACTCTATCACCCATCACCTGTTGTCTCCCACCTGCCTCACTCGCTACCACATGTTATAGCGACAATTTGGTCACTGTCACAAGCTACTACATCATTGGTCGACAACAGAAGCTCTTTGATGGTGATTGGTGTCTCGTGGCTAAACCCTTCGCTATACCACTATTAATATTTTATTTGAATTGTGAGAGACACACACACACCTGACATGGTTCATTGTGTATATTTATGGCTGTGTTGATAAATACTTTGTCTCTTATCTCTTTATAACATATTTTTTCTTGTAATGGAGGAGAGTTGAGGGAGGAGAGGGGAGGAGGTTGAGGGCGGATGGGGAGGAAGGTGTGGGGGGAGAGGTAGGAGGGTGAGGGAGGAGAAGGAAAGAGGGTAAGGGAGGAGAGGGAAGGAGGATGAGGGAGGAGAGGGAAAGAGGGAGAGCGAGGGAGATTAGGGTCAGGGAGAATAGTGTTTCCTCGTGTTATCTGTTGCTGCTGCTGTAAACTCGTCAGCTGCACACAGGTAAACAGACGAGAAGCTTGGAGGGACGGGTGAAGGAGGGGCGGGGTGGAAAGGAATGACGGATGAAAAGGGTTGAGGGACGGGAGGAAGGAATGAGGGATGGAAAAGAGTGAAGGGTGGAAAAGAGTGAGGGAGCGGAGGAGGGAATGATGGAGAGGAGTGAGGGAGGGGAGAGGAAGGAATGAGGAGGGTAGGAGGGGTTGTGTGATTGGTGGGAAGCACAGCGTGACACAGCCGCCCCCATATAAGCACAGCTCCCCGTACAGACTCTCATAGCACACACAGAAGCCATCATGGGGAGACACTATGGTGGTTTACACTCCTGTCCTTCACCTATCCACCTGTCTCCTGTCCACCTATCCTCCCTGTCCACCTGGCCCTCCTGTCTCTGTCCTCCTGTCTGTCTGTCCCTCCCCTGTCTACCACCAGCCCTCCTGTCTATCTGTCCTCCTATCCACCTGTCCCTCCCTGTCCACCTGTCCCTCCCTGTCCACCTGTCCCTCCCTGTCTGTCTATCCCTCCCTGTCTACCTGTCCCTCCCTGTCTATCTGTCCCTCCCTGTCTACCTGTCCCTCTCTGTCCACCTGTCCCTCTCTGTCCACCTGTTCCTCTCTGTCCACCTTTCCGTCCCTGTACACCTGCCCTTATTTTCTAACTTAACCTAACCTAGCCTAACCTAACCTAACCTAACCTGAACTTTACCTAACCTAAGCAATGCTAACCCGAGCTAACCTGACTTAAGAAGAAAGATCTTGGCGTTGTGATAGATCAGTCAGTGACGGCGGCGCAACAAGTGAAGAAAGTAAACCGAGATCTGGGAATTATAAAGCGTACCTTTCAATACAAAGATAGGAAAATGCTCCTTCAAATCTCAAGTAAGTCCCAGTCTGGATTAATGTATACAGCCTCAGGCATGGAAATTCTACCTCCAGATAGATCTACTATTCCCAGAAAAGCTGCAACACAGAGCGACCAATATGATTCCGGAACTATGTCATCTCGTTTATCCAAATTGACTGAGGGCCTTAGGACTAACAAACCCCCAGACAAGACACACCTGGGCAGATCTTAATGATACATTCAAAATCATCAACGTGATGGAAAACGTGAACCCGGGACACTTGTTTGTGATGTCACGCAGCACCAATACGAGTGAAAATAACTACCAGCTCGTCAAATTATCATGCAGAACCATCATAAGGAAATACTTTTTCACGCAGAGGCTGATAGAACTATGGCACTGTCAACCAGCCCAAGCTTCCACAGCTTGGGCTGGTTGACAGTGCCATGTACTGGGCTTCAAAATAGGCCTTGACGATACTCTCAAGAGCAATGGAGGGATCCTACAGAGGCCACTGGCCCTCTTCACCCACCTTGGCCACCTATAGTGGGTGGCCATTAAATAAATAAGGCAGGTAAAGGTAAAAATGTCCCCAGCACCGCCATGACACAAATACAAATACAGTTTCACGTACAGATACAGTCACCCAAAAAAGTCCTGTCGCGAACCACGATTCAGACTCGTGAACCCGAAGCAGTAGACACTGAGACATTATTCTGTCCATAAATGCTTCGAATTCAAGAGTCTGAATCTCGGGGTTCATGGTTCGCGACAGGACTTTTTTGGGTGACTGTACAGGAGACAAGTACCACCCATAGTACCGTAAAGTGGCTAACGAGGCAATCAGTGGTTACACGACAAGGAAACACACACATGGGGAGTGAATCTTCTCAGCCGTCAATCAGTGTTGGTTGCTTCACACATCACCTGGATATATAAACACCACGACACACAGGCAGCCAACACAGTGTACTTGTATGGCGAATTTACTAAATAAATATCTGTGTGTATCGTAGAGAGTGTGTGAGGTGTAGAGGCGGCAGCAGGGGGTGAGAGCGTCATGCCAGCCCTTTATGGTGCGCTGTTTACAAATAGGAAAACAGTGCATCTTGGTGGAGTGGGGAGGAGGAGGCCAGGCGGTGAAGCAGGCAGAGGAGAAGGAAGGAAGGCAGGGTGTGTGTGTGAGAGAGAGGGGGGAGGTGATGGAGATGTGGATATAGCGGAAATTTGTAAAGTGGAAGAGAGGAAGGTGGAGAGAGTACTATATGTTTACATTGTTTATATACCTGCACTATATACATTATGGAGATATTTATGATGTTGATGTTTCAGGTTGATGTTAGTGGCGGCAGTGGGCGTGGTCTTGGCGATAGGTTACGACACGCCCACCTGTGACGAACGCCAGACCATCGTTCACCTGTTTGAGTGGAAGTGGTCTGACATTGCTGCCGAGTGTGAGAGATTCCTGGGTCAGGCCGGCTACTGTGCTGTCCAGGTGGGTGACACACACTCACACACAGGCACACGCACACACACACACAAGATACAGACTGACAAGCAGACGATATTTTATTGTGCTTATTTTTCAAGACTTATTTTTAAAGTTGAATTTTTATTAATCTACCGGGGTTTAAACTGATCAGTTTTTAATGAAAGGATTTTGATAATGTTGGTATTTTTATTGAGACTTACTGATGAGTTGTTGACAGGTGTTGCCAAGAGTGAGTGTGTGTGTGTGTGTGTGTGTTTAACAGGTGTTGCCACGTGTGTGTTTAACAGATGTTGTCAAGTGTGTGTGTGTGTGACAGGTGTTGCCAAGTGTGTGTATGCGTTGACAGCTGTTGTCTTATATTCCACCTATTAATATACACGTGAGTAGTTGACATATAACGAATTACTTCTCTTAGTAACAGATGTAACAGTATGCCACAGTAATGGGGAGAACATGATATCTCTTCTTTTACCAACTGTGTCTCTGTTGAGGTGACTGTTACTGTGAATATAACAGTTACTTGTGAAACTGCCATATGTGTAACAACCTTCCTGGGTTGTCACCACTTGTAGCAATCACTTGTGAAGCACGTTACCTTATATTTTAGACAAACTAAAATATAGATCAAAGTTTATTGGATCTTCTGTAGTGAAATCCATTATGTTCCTTGTTTGTATTTATTATAAAAGGTTTTATGTATACAATGAAAGACAAAAGTCGTGTCGTGAAATTTGGTGTAAACATATGCCGAAGGGCTAAACTTTTGGTGCACTCTGCCTTGTGGTAGGGAGCTCTCATAATGCTTCACGAGTTATATTTAATCTTCTGACAAAACCACGACACGACTTTTGTCTTTGATTGTACACTTTCCAAAATGATTATCACCGTAATTTAACCACTGTAGCTATGAGTGTTAAATGCAGACGAAGGCTATGTTAAATAGCTCTGCTAAGTACGTCCTGTTGATGAGATAGTTGAGTAAGGTGAGTAGGGACCCATTGAGGGAAGAACGGAAATATATCGGACGTCCTCCCTCGAGGGAAAACAGAACCATCCACAATGGCTCTCAATGACGTCTCCCTGAGACGTCACTTAATCCTTAAGCTCAGCACTAAGTGATGTGACTTCCCGTGGGCACACCTTATCACGTGCTTTGAACATGCTACCTCATAGCTAGTGGAAAGTTACAGGGGATGATGGAGTATATAAGTCTAATGTAATTAACTCATTTATATAAATGCTTCCGCCTATAAGGCAAGGGTAATACAGACAGGTGTTGCCAAGTGTGTGTGTGTGTGTGTGTGTGACAGGTGTTGTCTTATATTCCACCTACTAATATGCACGTGCGAACATAAGAACATAAGAACATAAGAATGGTGGAAACTGCAGAGGGGCTATTGGCCCATACTGGACAGTCCCATTTTCACCCAACCTCTATTGCTCATATAAGCATCCAACCTATGTTTGGAGCTATCCAGCGTATTCGAGTTAATGATGACATTTGGTAACTTTTTCCATTCATCCACTACGCTGTTTCCAAACCAATATTTACCTATTTCGGGCCTATATCTAAATTTGTCTAATTTAATACCAATGTTACGAGTTCGCTCTTGGTTGGAAAGTTTGAGTACCTTTATAATGTCCCCTTTGTTTAGCCCTGACTTCCATTTATACACCTCTATCATGACGCCCCTCGCTCTACGTCTCTCGAGGGAGTGCAAATTAAGATGCTTTAATCTGTCTCTATACTCAAGGTTCCTAATGCCCGGGATTAGTCTTGTTATTCTCCTGTGAATTCTTTCCAAGGATTCTATATCCATTTTATAATACGGTGACCAGAATTGAACTGCGTAATCCAGGTGAGGTTTCACAAGCGCAAGATATAGTCTTAAGGTGACCTCGCTAGTCTTATAACTAACACTCCTTTGTATGAACCCAGGTGTTGCCAAGTGTGTGTGTGTGTGTGTGTGAGTGAAAAGTGTTACCAAGCGTGTGTGTATGTGTGTGTGACAGGTGTTGTTTTATATTCCACCTACTAATATAGTACACGTGTGTGGTTGACAGGTGTCGCCGCCCATGGAACACGTGTTGGCTTCAGAGGACGGGTACCCCTGGTGGCAGCGCTACCAACCAGTTTCCTACCAGCTGGAATCTCGCTCAGGCACCAGGACCGAGTTTATTGATATGGTGCAGAGATGTAACGCTGTCGGTGTGAGGTGAGAGATGAGAGGTGGGCTGAGAGGGAGGGAAGGTAGAGAGGGATGATAGGTGAGCAGGAAGTGAGAGATGGAGGGATGATAGATGGGCAGGCAGTGAGGGAAGGAGGGAGGATATATGGGCAGGAAGTGAGGGAAGGAGGGAGGATATATGGACAGGAAGTGAGGGAA